AAAAGTTTAGATCACACAGGGCTTGGCTTTTTAATATTTAAGGATATCGTGAAAGTTGCCCTTTCTAATTTGCCACCAGTCCCTATGATTAGGTTAAGGAGAAGGTCTTCATATGGTGGTATGAGATCTTTAACATCCAACTTCTGTTTTTAGCAAAAGAGACTGGGTATCAGTTTCAGACAACAGTATGTATTCACAATTACTGACAGGCTTTGGTCATCTGTTTTAATTACTTCTATTTATGATGGATGATAGTAGCTTGTATTTATGGTAGTTTCTTTAAAGAAGTAGGCAGTTGTCTATCCTGACTGAACATTGGACCCATCTGAGTGGCTTCATGGTATGTTGGTGTCTGGGTTTTATCTTGGGCATTGAGATTTTCCAAAGTTGTCCAAGTGTGAAAAATAGTTGATTTAAAGGGTAATGCCTCTCGAAATTTAATGTGTGTATGAATGACTAGGGGACTTTGTTAAAATAAAGAGGGAAAGACTTTTATCAGGCTGAGTTGGAGTTTGTAATTCTACATTTCCTACAAGCTCCCAAGTGATGCCGATCTTGTTGGAGATCTTGTGTACTATGATTCAAGGCCCTAGCGGAAACTGATTGTGTAAGAAATCACATCTGAAAATAGTTCATAAAATGAATAATGCTATCCTAAGATCTTTTTCAGTGGGGTGGGTAAATGAAAATCTGTATCTTCATATAAAATTTTTTCTTTTTTTCTCATTGAGTTTATTGGTACATTTTAGGTATACAGTACAGTTACATTCGTCACTGGGATCTTGTATACAAATTTTTCTTAAATCAAAGCTATGGACAAATGGTTTCAGGACCTTGGACAGAAGCACTGGCAAATGTTTTGAAGGGCCAGGGCCTTAACTGGAGGAAGACTGAGAGTTAAAACTGTATGTAGCCCGGTGTGGTGGCACATGCCTGTAATGCCAGCACTCGGGAGGCTGAGGCAGTAAAATTGCCATGGGTTTAAGGCCAGCCTGGGCTGCGTAGTGAGTTCAGGGCCAGTCTGAACTACAAAGGGAGACCCCTGCCTCAAAAACAAAACAAAACAAAAACAAACAAACAACAACAAAAAGGTATGAAAGCATTTGCCAAACAGTGACATTGAAAATATCATTGAGGGCTATATAGGAAAGGTTTTCTTTTATGTATATACCTTATTGTGCCTTCCCTGCTAGTAGGGTCTGTATTGTTTTGTGTATAAACTCTATTCTGCCAAATTCTACTCTATTTTGCCATATTTCATCAAACAAATAAATTGGGTCATGAAGTAGAACTCTACAGCATCATTTCTCGATGACTTTGGACTCCTCATGAATGGAATTAGAAGATGACTTTAGCCTGAATATCAACCTCGAATGATGAAAAGGCTAATGGATCCAAGCTGCTAATTCAGGAGAGAGAGTGTGTAGGTTGTCAGCAAATAGATATTGAGGTGGCCCGCTGAAGTGGCTTTTGGAACCATACACAACGGAGCTTAATACCAACTCACAAATCACTCACTGTGGTTTTAGGTGAACTGAATTTAGTCCCCATGAAGCCCAGTTTGCTTATCTGAAGAAAGGAGGCAAGGCGCTCTCCTTCAAAAGTTATTGTGAGGGTGAGGTGAGATCACCTACTAACATTTAGATTGTGTGACCATAGGCAAAGGATCTCTTGGGTCTTGGCTTTTTTTTTCTGTTGAGTGAAATAATTTCTGAGACTTATTCTGGCTCTATAATGATTCAGTGATAGTGAAATGAGGATCTAACTTTTGCTGGTTATTCTGCAATTTCTTCCCATCTTGTTTTGTCCTTGGTTTATTCTTCAGGTTTATGCCTTGGGATCTGGGTACTAAGAACTGTGCCACTTCATTCCCTTCCTGCGTGACTTTTCTCTGAGTTTGGCCAGTGGGAGGTATCGGTGTAGTATCAAAGGAAGTAAGAGGGAGGTTGGAATGTTCCCATGCCTTTATCTCTGGCACATATATCTGACTGTGTATGGCACTATCTTGCTGGAAGGCCCCTCCTCCCACAGCACAATCCTCACTGAGTTCCAGTGACCCTGTCCTGTGATGGCCGCATATGGCCGAGGGAGGTAAGATTACCCATTATTTCTAGGGGAGCTCCAAGAAATTTTGATGGTGCCCTTACTCTTGCACAGAGCATTGTTAACAGTCTGTTGGTTAAAGCCCCGTTGAAACCACGTGAGAGTAATTTGCCCCCCCCCAAAACTCAGATTGATATAGAAATAGGTCAAGAGGAGCCCCACTGAAAACCTTGTACAGAGTTAATAGAGATCCTTCAGGTGATTACTTCTTTGGGTTAATCCAGATCCTCCACATTGTAGATGAAATATCACCTCCTCTTCCTCCATCTTTGATGGAGAGAGATACTGTGTTACTGTCATTCTCACACAGAAGTAGGGCTCCTTAGACAGGGTAGCATCTCATGCAGAGAGTTTATGAGAAGACATCTGTCTTTTCTGTGGCCCCATTTGCTCCCTTGTAATCAGGAAGTTTCTCTCTCTTTCTCTCTCTCTCTCTCTCGCTCGCTCTCTCTCTCTCTCTCTCTGCATGGCAGTGACACATTTTCTGTATAAATCCAGGAAACTCACAGTGTCTATTTACCCTAGTAGACAGGAGACTCTTCTCCTCTCTTGTTGTGTCTGGCAAGTACTAGATTAACCACACACCTTCACAGAGCCTGGGTCATCACATTTAGCTGAATGCATTTATAAAAGGATCATTATTTAACAGCTAAGCCTCAATTAACTCACTTTTATCTTGCCTCCCTGAGTTGGTGAGTAAAATTAACGAGGATGTTGTTGCCATGCCTAACAGCTTCTGTTTGTGACCCTTTCATCAAATTCTTTGCTTTTATGTACTTACTGTCCGCTTTCAAGTCACTTTCATTCTCCAAGCTGACGCAAAGATGGATTGCGACAATAGTTTGTGGGTGGCTGTCAGAATTGATGGTGGTTTGTGTGGGAAAATGCATAGCAAGTTTGAGAGCTGATAGAATCAATTAAGAAACTTCTACCTTACAGGAAAAGATCAAGCTAGGTGTTTTAATTATGATGCTGTTATAATATAGCTCATGCTTGGATGACCTGGGTTTGAAGAGTTGCAAAACTATTAAATATTTCCAACATGAAAAAGGACATACAAATAATGTGATCTTTTGGAGGATGACTCAGTATCTTTCAGAGAAGCAAAGAGGTAGAGTGGGAAGGGTGAACTTGAGTGACTTGGCCTCCATTCTGGACAAAACTGTTTGCCAATTTTAGCTTAGCTTCCTCACCTCTAAAATGACGTACAACTGGAGGTCTTAGAAAGTTTTCATAAGCACTGCAGAAAGACCTTACTGGAACTATGATTAGTCCCATTTTATGGAGGAGAAATTGAGACTCAGAGAGATTGAGAATATTACTCAAGGTCATCCAGCCTGCAAAGTCACTGCCTGTAAATAACTGGCTCCAGATCTTGGGCATCTGACCAGGAAAGCATCAGCTTGCCTTGTAGCCAACTTAAAAAAATTTGCACCATTTTCTAGATGCCATCATCAGTGATCTTCAAGTTATATGGTCCAAGGCCATATAACTTACAAGTTGTGGAGCTGGGACATTGACCCAAGACTAATACCAACCTCCATGCTCTTAGCTTTTATGCTAAATTCTCAATTATGATTACAACCATACTGTCTTGAAGATATAAAGAGGATGTGATGTGAAAAAAATTCAGATTTATACCCAATAGATAATCTAGTTTATAATTATAGGAAACAGTTCAGGGGCCTCAGATTCTGCACTATATTTGGCTAACCAGGAGGAGGTGGGACCTGGGGTTTTATTCTAGCTCCTAGCATAATGTGTAAAGGAGATGAGCATTTAGAAGTTTTAATCAGAATTTTGTAACTTGGGGGATATTATAGTAAGTGAAAATAAGCCAGATCCAGAAAGACAAATATCACATGGTCTCACTTCTATGTAGAATCTAAGAAAGTCGAATCCATAGAGGTAGAGAACAGAGTGACAGTTATAGGGACTGGGGGAGGTGGGAGCAAGGGAAGCTTCAGCTGGACAAGAGGAATAAGATTTGAAACCTATTGCCCAGTAGAGTGACAATGATCAATAATACTGCATATTTCAAAATAAGACATTTCCAAGTGTCTTACCAAAAAAATATGTGAGGTATAGATATGTGAATTATTTTGATTTAATCATTCCACAGTGAATACATATATCAAAACACCATGTTGTGTCCCATACTGTATACAATTAATATGAAAAAAGTCAGCATTCTGCAATTGCTTGAATATGTATGCAAGTACGAAACACCAAGTGTGCACCATTTTAAAATTTATTATAATACAAACAAGTCCAAACACAATATATTATCTAATTATGAAAATATGAACATTTACTGTTTTTCTGTGGACCTTCTGTTCCATCCTTTGAGCTGGAGTAGCCAACATCAGAGTCTCCTATTCACTTCAGGTGAGCTCCTCCTGTTGGAACAGGGCACCAACTGTGCAAAGTGACCTTTCCCAACACAGGTGTTTGCAAGATGGAAGTTCATGCCTTCTCATTGTCTGTGTTTTATTATTTGTCGCTAATCCTTCTCTCTTCCTTCCCCATGAGATATTTCAGTCTCAGAGTTATTTAGTGACAAGACATAGCATGTACATGTGTAGCATCATCGCAATGTCCAACCAAAGAATCCGGCAAAGGGTAGCAGGCTTTGAAAGAGCCAGCATAGAGACCCAGGCAAAGGCAATGGCTTGGGAGTTCCAGTGGCAGCTGTTTACATGACAGGCTCAAAATTCAAGGCTTTCTTTCCAAAACTGGCCTGAAAGAAAAGGCTTCCAAATGTCTTAGAGTGAAAAATAAAACCCTTTTCATGATTGTCCGTGGTTATTATGATAAATAATAATAAATTAAAAAATACTTAGGTGAGCCAGGGGTTTAGCTCAATGGTTCCACCGCCTGTCTCCCAAGTGCAAGGTCCCGAGTTCAATGCCCGGTACAAAAAACAAAACAAAACAAAAAAACAAAACAACCTTAGATGATATCACATATTTTCAGGACACATGTATCAGCCAAACCCTCTGGGCATTCATAGGTATTTTCAGCAGAAGATGGCAACTCACCAGAGTGCTTTCAAGAATCAGAACTTTTAAAATATCATTTAGCAAAATAGAAAATAGACTCAGAAAGAAAAAGAGATCATGACACTACTTGGTAGAACTGTTATAGGTGAAAGAAGGAATAAATGAATGTCTGAAGCCAACACTCCCAATGCCCATCCAGTTTTAAAAACCAACAATTAATTTTACATATACAGGTAAAACTGGAACAAAGAGTGTTAAGATTCACAGGCTATTTTCCTTCTTAATGTACATCCTCAAAAAGGAATTGCTTAACTTCGATAGATATTGCACTCTGACTCATTCATGTAGAGCTCATACTAGCATTATTCAGAGCTATGTATTTTAAAAATAAATAAATAAATAAATAAATATATATATATATATATTCAGTATAGGTAGCCTTTGGTCAATGTTCAGTTATAAAGGGGTGTGGTGGAATCACGCCATACACTTAGGTAATGGACACACATTCAGCAACACATGCTTGGCAAAAAAAGAGACTGAGAGAGATCTGCAGTTTAAGGGATATAGGGGACTCTACTTGCCATTTCCCTCAATGAGCCTACACCCTGGGGAGTAAGTCAGACAGGAAGCAGAAGTCTATGGCCCTCAGTCAAACAACTTCTGTGCCCTTCTTTTAGTGGGAGCGTCTTACTGTACCAGGGTGGTCCTGACGTTCTCAGACACGTTAGATCATACAGCACAGCCCTCAAACACAAGTCCAGTGAGTCTTGTCTTCAGTGAGCCTTTTCCAATGCAGGAGACAAATTTAGCCATCCCCAGTTTTTAAAGGGGTAGTAGTTGATCTTCCACAAGACTGTTCACTGAATACTTTGCGCAGACAACTTTGGCTCTGCCAGAGTTTTTCTTTTGCACTAACTTTAGAATCTAACCTTCTAGTGCAGTAAACAAGTAGGATTTAGGATCATCAGGACTAATGGGACACAGAATTATATTGAGTTAGTATTGGCTGAAGTTTAGGGCTTGTGCTGCCCTGAGGTCTTTTCTACCCTATTCACTTATTGCAAACTCCTGTAAAAAGAATAAAGACATATCTTCCGATTTGGAGACAAAATGCAGTAAATATTAGGCTTAAGGAAACAAGTGTCCCAGTTGGACCATCAGCTTTTTATTTGGCCACCAAAAATAACACGCAACCCCCAAATCAGTTTGGAAAATTTCTTCCAATACGGGGATAAGTTCACATACTGAGAATCTGGGAGAGAAGTTAAAAAAAAAAAAAGCAAAGCAAGAGGAGCTCCAGCATGAAGTTCCCTCTTATAATACATTACCGGACATAGAGGGGCCTCACCAAATCAAGTATACATGTGTGCGTGTGTATGTGTGCATGTGCACACATAAATGGAAATTCCCAACGAAGCTCCTGTTAATTGCATCCTCAAACTGTTCTTGCCTTGGAAAAGCAAAAAGGGAAAATAAATACATTTATGTTTTATCATTTTGCAAAGGGTCCGGGTTAAACTCTTTCACCAAAAACTGGCACTGTCTTCCAGCATGGCAGCACTCACACCTTTCCGTGTCAGTTGTGCCTGCATTTGTGGTCTCGTGGCAATGCCAGCTGGACTGTGGACGGGAACTGAGAACGTCTCCTTTCATACCCAGAGAGCTAACATTCCTGACCCTTGAATATTACATTCAGTTAGGAAGTCACTTCAAATAAAACAAAGGGCTTCAGCAAGCAAGGAGGCAGGGTTGGCGATTCTACACATAAAAGGCTTCTCTAGGAAGCTGTGTGGTACCACAACAGAAGCAATTTTGTATATGGGGTTGTATACAGCCGACACAGAGATGGACTAAAACAATGGCAAGAGTGGGCTTATTTTTTGTTTTTCTGGGCTCAATAATTCCTCCTTTCCCATGCACCAGGCAGGGTCTTTGTTTGGGAGGCGATAGATAAAATCTATACATTATGGCAAATACAAAACCACATTTTAGACCTCAGGTCATAGTTACATTGGTATGGAGCCTCCCTGCAGAAGCTCTGGCCAGTGTTTGGGTGAGATGCAATACTCCCCTTTCCCCATTATGTGTTTGTGCAGCCAGGGGTGCCAGGGTCGCGTCAAGGCCACCACTCCTTCTAGGACAAAGGGCACCTTGGAAAAATCCCTGATCACTCAGCATTGTGAGCTGCTGGGAATGGCACAGGGAAGCGACAGATCACCTCAGCTCTTGGAAGAAGAGTGTGGCTTCAGCTACGTGCTGCTGTGACTTGGTGTGTCAGTCACATAAATGAGCAGTTCCCCGTGATTGTGGATGGGCCAGGTGCAAAGTCACAGACTGTTCCTCTACTGGGTGTTCTTACTGGTCACAGGATGATGACACTTAGGACCTCCAACGGCATCTTCCAACTGGTAGGAACTTTTGTTGTCAGCATGATTTTGTGAAAAGGAATACATAAATAAAAACAAGATTCATGCTTTCCTTTCTTCTCTTCTATTTTTTGTCATCTACCAGTTTGAGAGTTGCTCACTCTGTGGAGATAGGAAATGAGGTGAGCTCTCTTAAGAAGAGCTGTTGAGCCACAGGATAGGAAGCCCTCCCATCTGGAAGTGAATAACACAGAGGCACTAGGTGCCCAGCCCTTGGGGTCACGGGGATACCTTTATAGGCTTTCCATTTTTGTCATACTGGTACACCAGCATCTTGATACAGTGTGAGTTTGCTGGTGAGATCCAGGGGCTACTAGTTATGGAAAAGTTGTGATTGGTGTAGAACTGTACAGGCTGCTTCTGGCACTTGAAGAAGGCCTTGAGGGTGGCAGCTGCCATGGTGCGGAACCTCTTACTGATGAAGCAGTAGAGGAAGAAGTTGATGGCTGTGTTCAGAAGGGCCAGCATGTTGGCAATGTCAGACATAATGTGCACCAGCCAGCGGTTCTGGATGGGTGCCCCATAGAGGTGGTAGAGAATCACGATGATTCGAGGCGCCCAAAGGGTGGCAAAGATGGAGGTGATGGTGAACAAGATGGCAGTGGTCTTGCCTGTGGAGTAGCCCCGGAGACGGAAATTGCTCTTCCTCCTTAGCTTGTACACAATGATGGAGTTCAAGATGAAGAAGATGGAACAGGGCACCAGGTACACCGTGAAGCAGTGGACCCAGACCAGGACATGATGAAGGGAGGTGCTGATGTAGTCTTCAGTCCAGATGTTGGGCCACCAGTAGTAGGGGAGGCTCGTCAGGAAGCAGGTGATGTAAACACTGACAATGACTTTCCGGGTGCGGGCTGGGTAAGAGACCGTGTGGTACTTGAGAGGGTGGCAGACAGCAATATACCTGTCAATGGTTAAGGGGACCGTAATCCAAATGGAGGTGTGGATGGAAGAGAACTCCAGCACTTCTATGATCTTGTCAGGAATCGGAGGCATCTGCACGTTCAGGATGAAATCTTCTAGTAGGAAGTCCACAAACACAATGAAAAAGAGGACCAGGATGTCAGCAGCAGCAAGTGCCAAGAGATAGTTGTAGGAGGACTTCTGTCTTCTAGCCACCAGCTGAGAGAGGATGATCACCGTCAAGATGTTTGCTGTGGAAGAGAAGAGAACTGGGTTTGTCTTTGAAGCAAGGGAGACTTTGTTGGCTACTACGGGTGCCTCGGGCAGGTGTTACTCAGGACACTCCCGTGGAGGTCAGAGGATGGAATCAGTGTTTTTCAGGGACAGCCTCTGCATTACACATCACACCTCATGAGAACCACTGGATGTCATTTTAAAATGGGGCTCTCGTTCTGCTTTATTTGCTCCTTACACAACCAGAAGAGGTGGTACTATCATCATCCTGCTTTAGAAGTGAAACTGAGCTCCAAGAGCCGGAGGGCCTCGCTTAGCATTACTCAGTCTTAACTTGTGGTGACAGAAACTAGACCCGGATCCTGGTTCCCAGATGCCACGCACGCTCTGTCTTTGGCCTGGCTGTGTCGAAATGTGAGGCCGAGGTACATTATCCTGGTACACGGGTTCAGGGAGGAACCTGGGCTACGTAATCATAAAAAACCTTTTTAGAACTTAAGATTTTAAGAACTTTCCTTTGTAAGTGGATATAGAATTGAAGGAAAAGACATGATTATGACTTTCAGATTAATTTAAAACTGAATCAAATTGATTTTTGGACTAGACAATCCACAAGCATGGTACATAATTAGAAACACCAGCAGAAAAATGTGTATTTCTCTTCCACTGTTAATTCTCCAACCATCCAAGTTTCATTCCCTCAGGGCAATCATGGCCAGTAAATAATTTATATGTATACATGTCTCTGTAGCATGTGTGCACATAGACAGTTTTTGCACAAAATGTAGCAATGTGTTCTTTTCTGCAGGTCAGATTCGTGTTGAAAATGTATCCACACAGTTCCTGATCAGTTTTAAAAACAAGTGTTCCCCAAACAAGACACATTCAGAAAGTCATTTAAGATTCACCCTAAAATGATACACCAGTGAATAATATCTGTAAATTGTTCTACGTGTTGATTCGCAGTCATTCTCACGATCAACCCTGAAATTTGAACATTGTTAATCCCGTTTTCAAGCGCATATCCTTCGTGTGAGATCCCTCGCAAAGCTGGAATCTGATCTCTCTCCTCCCCTTCCCCTTCGTGCTCCCTTTCACAGAAGTGATTTCCAATACCACACAATAGTCCGCACAGGAAAATGTCTGTAATAAACACATTCACACATCTGGTGCTCTCATCGCTTGGATTAAACAAATTTGAACATTTTGCTAGATTTGCTTCAGTGCTTTTTTAGGTTTTTTGGTTTTTTGTTTTTTTGTTTTGGTACTGAGGATCCAACTTAGGACCTTGCGCTTGCGAGGCAGGCAGCAGCCCCACTGAGCTAAATCCCTGGCCCTTTTAGTGCTTTTTAAAAAAAAGGAGTAACACTATGTATAGATACAGACCGAGCCCCCCCAGAACAGTTCCATTCACATTCTTTGTTCTCCTTCCCTCTTTTCTGTCGCCAAGGTGACTGCAGGCTGCGGGCTGTGCCCTCTGCCTGGGGTCACCTTTACCTACTCTTCCTGTCTGTAAAACGTCTGCCATTCCATAGGCTGCTTTGGTGGTTCATCATTACTGGTTATTTTGATTCATGCATCTAGCTTATTCATTTTAGTGACTCTGTACTTGTCTTTGAACTCATTGCAATTATATATGAATGATTGCATCAAATGTTTATGTACAGTATGTTTAAATTGGTTCTAGGATTTCATTATGAATCACTGTAGTTAATAATCACAGTATGATTCTCTTAGAAGTATATTTATTGTCTTTTGGTGCATGCATTTTCATCTTTATTAGCTATTGAGAATTAACTGTTAAGTGGTTCTATTAATTTACACGCCTAACGGTAGAATATGATGTGTGATAGGAAAATACAGTGTCTAAATCTTTAAAATTTATCGCAGTAATAAACAGTGCCATAAATCCCCTTCATACCATATCTCTCACTTCAAACACACTTGTGTCATCCCTCTCGCCGCTTTCTGAAGCAGCTCCGGGAGTCCTCTTTTCTGAGTGTCTCTAGTTGCCCTATTGTGGCTGCCTCGATGTCCTGAATCAGTGAAAAAGTTTGCCTTTTTGTGGTCATTTTGACTTTGGCGAGGAGCCGGAGGTCACATGGTGTCAGATCCAGGGAATGAGGCAGATGAGGACGCGGGGCCGTGTTTTTATAACCCCGCCTTTCCATGGGAGGTGCTCAGCAGTGACAGTCGCCATATTTTTGGTGACACCTTGTAAAGACACTCATGAAAGAGGACTTTCAGAACTTCAGAGAATAGCAAGAGTGATGGAATAAACGTGTCCGAAGTGAGGAAGTGCATCGTGAGGGGGCTCAATGGCACTGTGTCTCTTACTGTAATAAAACTGTGAAGTTTAAACCTCCACCGTGCATTTCAGCCATACCTTGGATATTTATAAACCTGACATTTCAGGTTTGCTTGTGCATTCAGCAATGTTTTTGTTTATCTACTTGGAGCCGTGCCCTGGGAAGGGATGGTGAACAAAAAAGACCTTGTCAGTCCTGCCTTCATGGAGCTTATACCAGGGGAGAGGAGCTTCAACAGAAGAACTACGGAAGAAAATTTACAACCTCAAGTTGTAATAAGTGTTAGGACGGAATGTTTGGCAGGGAGTTAGGTTCAGGCTGAGCTTGAGGACAAGCAAATAAGCAAAACGTGTGGAAGGGGATGTTTTAGCAAAGGAGACAGCATGTGCAAAGGCCCCGAGGTGAACAGAAGTGTGGAAGTATCGGGTTTATTAAGGCAAGGAACACATATTGATTTCTGCTTGCTCTGTAAGCATTTTTGCATTTAATGGATCTCTTTTATTAAACAGCCTTTGCTGTGTTCTGTTGAAAAGCTTTTCAAAATGTTTTATTCATCTATAAATCCTTTCAAAAAGTATTTAGCTTCTAACTTTTGTGGGCAAAGATCTGTGCATGGGCTGAAGGTGGATACAAATTGGTATTGCAGACATTTGGCGCCTCTGCTCCAAGAGTGTAGAGATAGCGTGAACGTGGCTAAGTGTGAAGAGGTCAAGGAGGGCAAATGCGTGGAGACAGGGTTGCTGAGCTGAGCTGATAGAGGGCGAAGGGGAACCGTTCAGGGCAGGGTCTGGGCTGAGGCCTGGCTTCCAGTCCCTCTTGCCGCCCCGATCTCACGAGTACAGGCCCAGCTTCCTGGGACTGGGACTGGGGCTGGAAGATGGGCTCTGAAGCTCCCTATTGTGCCAAGGCTGTGGGAGCCCAGGGGCTGCCTGGGATTCGCTCTGTCTCTACCACTTATTGGCTCTTGAACTTTGGGCAAGCTTCTTCAGTCTCTCTGTGCCTCAGTTTCCTTCTTTATGAAATGGGGATAATAAGAATGACTGTCTCATGCGGTTCTTCTCAATGAGACCAACATTGAGGTAAGTTTTGCAAATTGTTAAAAGGGCGCTTAGCCGGGCGTGGTGGCGCACGCCTGTAATCCCAGCACTCGGGAGGCTGAGGCCGGAGGATCCTGTGAGTTCGAGACCAGCCTGGGCTACATAGTGAGTTCCAGGTCAGCCTCAACTACATAGTGAGACCCTGTCTCAAAAAAACAGGTTGCTCAGAAAGGGCCAGTCATTGCCAGAGAGTCCATTCATTCAGCAAATATTAGTTGGGCATTTCTCATCCCAGGCATTACACAAAGCAGCCTTAGAGACACAGGAAATAGCAAAATGGACAGCTTCCTTTTTGTCATGGTATTATAGTGGGCACAACACACACACACACACACACACACTCTCTCTCACATTTCAGACAGTCATACTACGAAGAATTAGATCAAGGAATGAGACAGTTTGATGGGAGAGGGTTATCTTTAGCTTGGATGTTAACAGGTGAGTTCAGTCCCGGATAAGGAGAAGGGCTCTGGCATGATGAGGAGGATTCTGAGCAGTGGAAATGGAGCATGCAAAGGTCTTGGGGTAGCAATGGGCTTGGTGTGTTCACAGCACAAGAAGAAATGGGAACGACTCCCCATTTTACAGGTGAAAACACTGAGCGTTTTTAAGTCATTTGCCCCAAGTCACAAACTAAGCAAATGGAGAAGCCAGATGGTGATTCCAGCTCTTTGTGACTTTATAGAATGTATAATTCTGCTTTGGTTATTTTTGGTCATAGGAAAGGCTTGTCAGCTACAGGAAAGTGATTCCCATTCCTTGGACTTACAAGGTGCCATCCCCGATGGGTTTTTTTTTCCTCCACGAAGCAGTGTCTGCACTCCCTCTCAGGCGCCCTCCCCCCAAGCCTAAATGCTGGGGTCTCCCCAGAAAGAGTGCTGTGTACATTCTGCGGAGGGACTGCCGCTGTCTCTTCCTCCCCACATGAACCCTGCTTTCCATGTGGTGCTAAAAGTTCTCCACATCGCAACTCTTTAAAAATATTCTAGGCCCACCTAGTTAATGCTTTCAGTCAGGCGAGTCATCAACCCCAAATGAAATTGCTAGGTATTCACATTTGACATTTCCTGAAGTTTCGAGTAATTGCCTCTCTTGAGAGACAGACCTGCCGAAGCCAAGAGTTTCCCATTCCTTTTGTACAGGTGGACCCCACCCCCACCCCAAGGTGAAGCCAGGATCTCTTGGGATCTCTTGGGGTGGGGTAAGCTGGAGAGGGCCAGAGGGGAATGTGTGCCGCCTGTGTGTTGATTCTTAACAAAAGAAGGTAGAGACTTTAACTCTTAAAATTTGACATTTGGTATAACCCCTCCTAAAAAAAAAAAAAAAAAAATCCTTTCTTTTCCACACTGGCACATTTTTCCCCGAAGAGAGAGAGCAGTGTTGACAGGGTCTGTGTGTATTTATAAAGGGTGAGGAAGCTAAGAAAGCCAAATCACTGCTGCCTGAAATTGCATTTCACAGCTTTTTTTCTCCAACAAACTGACCCAGGGACTCTGTGCTTGAGGAAACCCAACCAATCCCACCCAGGCCAGCCCCAGTGAGCCCCGCAGTCAGAATGTCAATGCTTTGAAACAGCAAATCCTTTCTGTCAATGGTGGTATGAGATAGGTG